GCGAGGAGGAAGGGACTACATACCCGATTCAGCATACTTCAGATGTCAAGACAAAGTACATAGGCATTTCAATAGCAATAAAACTTAGACTTATATACCCCTTCACAGTGCTTTACAACCCTCTCTAAGCGGTTTCCAGAGTCAGCATATGGCCCCCAACCATCTGGGTCCTCTTTTTACCGACCTGGGAAAGATAGAAGTCTGAGTCAACTTTGAGCCGGTCAGGATTGAACTACTGGCGGTCGGCAGAATTAGTCTGCAATACTCCATTCCAACCACTATGCCACCACAGAATAGTGACATCATCAGCATGTGTTGTCCTTTTGCTAAGAGTTTGCTGTGGAGGCCACTGGAAAGGAGGGGAAACTCAAATTGGGGGGGAGCAGGAAGTTTCTGCATTTCAAAGAATGTGTGGTTTTTGCTTCTAGCCAAAGAGTGAAAACAAAAAGGGCAAATTATATATGAATTTGAAACTCCAAAGTGGTCCTGCTGTTTCTGGAAGTGGATTAAATGGCGAAAAAAGCATTGTTCAGAATGATGATCTCTTCTTCGGTTGGCAGCTCCAGACCAAGATATTTTAGTTTGGCATTTTAAGCACATTAGGCTGCAATGTAAGTTAAAATAAAATCTCCCAAGGGTCATGGGTTAATTCAGAGCCGCCGTCCCCACCCAAGGTTGGATTACCCCAGTTAAAGTGGGAACATCCACTGTATCTCTTCCAAATGGTTTGCTAATTACAAGGAGACAGTAGCAAATCATTATGGAATAGCAGGGCTTTTTTTCAGCCGGAACGCGGCGGAACCGCGTTCCGGCACCTTTTTCCGGGCCGGCCGCACCGGAAATAGCCCCTCCCACACCGGAAATAGCCCCTCCCAAATTTTACTTGCATTCCTGTTCTCTAAAGGGGCGGTCCTAGGGTTTGATGAGGGCGTGGCCAGGTTTGAGTTCCGCCACCTTTTCTCCGAGAAAAAAAGCCCTGTGGAATAGTATGCCTTTTGTCCCATGCCTGAATGATTCATTCATTGCTTTTCTGTCTGGCAGAGCAATGGGATTTTAATTTTATCTTGCATCAAGTAGGAAAAAAATGTGATGGTTGAATAAGCTACTTGGATGGAAGTGACAGAAATACTGTCCTATCCTTCTCCTTCAACTCCAGAATTGGGAGTAACAATTATATACATGTATGTACACATATACACACAAGGGCAAAGACTGGACTTTTAACTCAGACGAATCCAGTTGTTTGATTTGCAGGGAATATATGATGTGTTACTTGTGTGCATCACTACAGTTAGTGTGGAAGTGGGGACTAAGGAGTAGATCCAGGTATCAAGGCCCGTAGATGTTTCTGTATTAAGAATATTGGGTTATTTCTCTTAGGGGAAGAAAAGGAAGGAAGTACTTTGTGAAGTTGTTTGGCACACTCTGGAAGTGAACTCAACCTCATTAGTGTCTCACTCATTAAATGTGTGCATTGGAATGCCTACAAATTTTGTGTATTTCCAAATTTTTATGAGACTCTCCGATCAAGATGCCTGGCCAAGTGATATCCAGGAGGCGACACGCATCATTTAAATGATAATTTTCATACAACTTATTTTTAAAAGTTCTAAAAAGACTGCAGGGAGTGGACTTACGTTTGAATGCTCAGAAAATTAATATTGACTGGAACTGACCAGATATATCCGTACCTAAATAAAACATGCTGAGAATCCCTACTGCAAAACTTCCATCATTTGCTTTTAAGGAATAATTTTTAAAAGAAGTGGAGTGGATAGCAGGGGAAGTTATTCTAAAAACGTTTTATGCCAAGCAGATATATAAAATTGGTGGATAGGTATACTTGTAGTATGCTGTTAGACAAGTCATTCTGATCTTTGGGATGAATCACACTTGATGGTAAACAAAATGGCGGATTCAGATGTGCACTCATCTCCTAGTTCAGAAGTGATCAGTATTGCCATTATGGGCTGATTTAACCAGGTTTACACCAGAGCTGGCCTTGGCGCTTCCATTTTCCTCACTGTTTAGGCCTTAAGCCGGCAAACTTCCCTGCAGATTCAGTCATCACTTTTCATTGCTCTTGTCTCTCTTTTAATGAGTATCCCAGCATGTACTCCCTCTACTTGTGAACAGCGCTGTCTCTTGTTACTCCTCTCCACCTGCTTAATCAGGATGACTACATGGCCTTTGTTCATACGGAAGAGTTGTAGGGCTGAGATTTATGGTTCCTTGAGGCTTCCTTCCTCAGGGAGGACTTGGTGGTGGCCCAGCAAATATAGACTGATTTTGTTCCATCACATAAAGGAAACCAAGGGGGGGGGGGCATTTGTCGAAGGTTTTGCATAACTTTGCTGGAGAGCTGCCCCTCATCATTCTGCCCTGTTGTCTCTCTCCTCACCCTCTGTCAGGAAAAGATGGGTGATAGCCTGCATGTTTTTCCTCCCCTGGGTGAAGTATTAGGAACTAACGGTCTCCTTAATCTCCCAGAGGAGGCAGGGCAAGAACTGGTAGCAGGAAGATTGGGAGTGCATTCTTTTTTTATTTATTTAGTGCATTCAAATTGTGCTCAGGTTATCATTTCGGGACATTACTCCCTCCCAGCCATTAAGCATTGAGGACAATGACATAGAATGACAAGTATTAGGTGTCCCACCCTCTACACACTTTGCCAGATCAAGACCAAGGCTGAGCTGAACTGAGCATTTGATACATAGTTTTGGCTGTGGTCTCAGGAAAGTTCTTGGAAATAGACATCTGTGCCTCCAGGCTTGAACCACATTCTGTTTCTCCTAGGTTTCGATCATGAGTGCTTTGAGAGGTACAGTTTGTCCTAGGGAATCTCTCCTTATACCAAGGGTGTCAAACTCAATTTCATTGAGGGCCGCATCAGCATTGCAGTTGCCCTCGGGGAGCCGGGTGGGTGTGGCCAGGTTGGGTGCAGCCTACTGGGTGGGCGTGGATGGAGTGGGTGCGGCCTACTGGGTGGGCATGGCCAGCTCTACATCATTCGCGTCAAGGGTGCCTATGGGGGCCTGGGCAGGAGTGGGACAGATCTGAGGGTCTCTGGCAGAAGGGGGTGGGACCAGACCAAGCGCCAAGGCATGGTCCATTTCTTCATTCCTCACAAAGGGTGACACCTCCCCAGCATGCACCCAGGGGGCGGGGCCAGCGCGGCAGGGGCTGGTTCCTCGCTGTGTCTAGACGGCCTTGTGGAGCTAAGACTGAATGCGTTTCAGCATAGATGGCCACCACAAAATTGTACATTGGCTTCCGGCCGGCCTGGGCCAGGGCCAAGGCAGCGGGGGCCGTTCCCTCACTGTTTCCAGGATGGCTTCGCGGGCCACATGAAACCACTTTGCGGGCCGCATCCGGCCCCCGGGCCTTGTGTTTGACATGTCTGCCCTATACCATCATTCAGGACATGCTGTATCTCCCTCACTGCTGTTTTCAGTTTTCCTTCAGCTGGAGGAAGGTTCCGGTAAAAAATACAAAGCAGTATTGCAGTCCCAGCTTTACCCACCCTTACCTGTGAGTCCGTGGTTCCAACTTGTGTTTGAAAGTATAAATTCCCCTTCATGAATCATCTCACCAGACTTTCCACTTGGAAGGATTCACCTGTCCATGTGTGGCCAGCAAAAGCTGCTGCTGCTGTTGTGGTGGCGGCATGCCTGCAAATCAAATAATTCTGCTGTTGGGCAAAGGAATACCATTCATCCATCATGGGATGTCAGCCAGCTGTTGTGTTGGCAAAAAAAAAAAGGAGGGGGAAAGGAGATGACAGATTCTATGAAACAAACTGGGTTGGAATGCAAATGAAAGAGGCAAGAGGAGTTGGAAAAACAGAAGAAGATGCCTCCGAAATTGCAGAAAACCAGCGTACTATAAGGATTGATTGCAGCAGATCTAAGCTGCTAGGCTTAGCCTGCCTGCTGGTTCATTTAGCTTAGACTCCAGAATTGTGACAGAATTGGGTGCTTCTGAGAAATGATTATGAGAAACAGAAGCTGTTTACCATTAGTTGCTTGTTCCCAGTGTCCTACACATTGGTATCCATCTAGGCTGATGGCCACTCACATATGATGGTATTCTGTTATTCTTTTGAATTTTAACTGCTGTACTGTAGTGGGTATTATGAAAGATACTCAACAGCCTTAAGCATATTTGTATTTTATCTAATGGAGGTCAAATTAAACATGGCTTCTCATGGACCTTATTTATCACCACTGTTTTGGCAGCACTTCACTGATGGTCCAAAAGCATGCAGTGTGGATAAATATATGCATCCTTTTTTTGTTGTGAAGTTTGATCCAGTTTTTGGAGTTTGTGGAGTTTTGGAATCTTTGCTGCCAAGCTTCAGAGTCAGTATCTTCTGACAGTATATTCTTTTTTCTAATCCACACCCTTCCAGATCTATGAACTGGTTGAAAAGTGTCAAAGTTGGACCACAACATACCTGGGGAGTATTAGTTTGGGAAGATTAGCCTGGAGTGATTGAGAGCAATGCAACCTCCCATTGAGATACTAATATAATATAGCACAAACTTTAAATCAGACTTCCCAAATTTGATGTCCTTCAGGTGTTTAGACTGAAGTTCCTATAACCCTCATTCCACATATTTGTCAGCCACAAGGTTATGGATTATGGGAGATTTTATTCTATGAATTTGGAAAGCGCCATGAAGGAGGCAGCTCTTCCATAGATTTCTGTATGACTTGCACTCAGCATGATTCAGGTAGGGTGTATCATATGGATAACTGAAGAATCACATAGTATGTATGATCTAATGCAGGGGTTCCCAACCTGGGGGTGTGAGATGATATTCCAGGGGGTGCAAAAACTTGGCTTTTCAAAATTATAGTGTATAGGCATAATTCGTTGCCCTTATTTTGAACTTTTGTAAGGGGTGCGAGAATATATCAGAAGCATTCTATGGGTGCGGGGTATAGAAAAGGGAGCCGTTGATCTAATATAACCTCCTTTGTTTACTCTTTGATAGGTTGTATGTGCCGAGGGCCATGTAACCAAGACCCTGAACTATCTTGAAATGAGTCCTTCGAGTGTCTTGAAGACTGGACCATATGGTAGCTCTTTCAAACCCCACCCACTCAGCCCTGGACGGATATTTTCCAATGAGCCATCCAAAGCCAAGCTGGACCCTTTTGGTGGTGCACTGAGTCCGTGGGACTGGACCAAGAATCAGACAGCCATGGAGCACTTCAATCAGCGAGCCAAAAGGAAGCCCTCAATGAAGGCAGGTCGTACCAAGAAAATCTTTGGATGGGGGGACTTTTATTTCAACATCAAGACCTTGAAGTTTAGCCTCCTTGTGACAGGCAAGATTGTGGATCACATTAATGGTACCTTCAGTGTCTATTTCCGACACAACTCCTCCAGCCTGGGCAATGTTTCAGTAAGCATTGTGCCACCCACCAAAGTTGTAGAATTTGATGTCTTGGTTCCTCCTATCCCCACCCAACATCTCCATCCCCAGCAGTCCACTTTAGCTGAGCCGAAGGAATCTAAGACTTTCAATTGTCATGTGGAGTATGAGAAGACCAACCGGGCACGCAAGAATAAGCCCTGCCTGTACGATCCATCCAAGATCTGTTTCACTGAGCATACACAGAGCCATGCAGCCTGGCTCTGTGCTAAACCGTTCAAGGTCATCTGCATCTTCATCTCATTCTTCAGCATTGATTACAAGCTGGTTCAGAAAGTCTGTCCAGACTATAACTTCCAGAACGAGAATCCTTACTTTGGCTGATGAGTGGACTGGGCCTTGGAGGGATGGGGATGTGGGGATGAAATAAGTTGTGATTTTTATCCAGCAGAGAGTGAGAACTTTGGATGACTGAGGAAGAAAAATATGAACTCCCAACCATGCTTGATAGGACAAGAACAGCTGGTTTGGTTTAGGAACTGGATGTTGTTCCATCAGACACTCCACTTCCAGTAGCCAGTGAATTTCCCAGGACGTTAGGAAGATGAAGAGTGGCCAGAGGGACAATATTGTTTTCACAACTCATTCTTCCCCTTTCTGATGCCATTTGTGAGCATCTCGTGGGGATTCCCTGCAAGATGAAGAAATAGCTTGCTGTGGCTGTATCTCTTTTCTGCATACATAATCCCTACTGCTTTGGTGGGGTTCTTACACTGACTACATGTTCACATCCCTCAGAATCATACCTCCCAGATGGAATGTGAAGGTTCAAGTAGCAGTGACAGATATCTCTCTTCCTCAGGCTACATCATACATCATCCAGCTGCAATTCTCATAGGCCTAACTGAGGGTGGGGGAATAGAACATTAACCAAGTGCACTAATTCAAGTATCATCGGATAACCTAGAAGAGCAAACGTCAGCAGGGTTGAGGAATACTTGTCTAGGGTGGGAAATTCAGCTGCCTGAACTTTCCTGTTCCAATAAAGAGAGATGAAAGGGGGAGGTAGCATCGTATGAAATCTAGGAATATGTGGCAAGTGGAATTAAAGTAAAGAGGGTACTTGGGATGTGAGTGAGATCATGGCATATGGCACATGCCTGAGCAAAGCAGGAGAAATGGGAAGTTGTAAGATAGTATGTTGACAGGACAGTATTGATTGTGTGTGTGTGTCTCTCTCTCTCTGTGTGTGTGTGTGTGTGTGTGAGAGAGAGAGAGAGAGAGAGTAGAACCATGACATCCAAGCCATGTATAACTCAGAGATTGAAATTAATCAAAAATAAGTATGTGTGTGCAAAACCTAAAGCGTGTATGTAATAGAAACTTGTATCCCATTAGGCACCTACTTGTCACCTTAGTGACATGTACACACAAGATCATTTTGTATGAGTATGTAGGGAGAAACATACACTGTATATATGTTAAGTGTGCATGTGCATGTGAGTTGAATTAGGTCTGCAGATTTGCAGTGATTGATTTCAGCAGATCACTTAACTAGATCTTTCATCACAGATTCAAAGTTGATTGGCAGGCCCAAGATTGAAAGGCACCCCATGAGGTGTAAGTGTACAAGTGTAGCACTGGATTGGTTTTCTTTCCAGTTTTCCTCCTAAATTAACTGACTTTGGATTTAATTTAACAGAATAACAGAGTTGGAAGGGACCTTGGAGGTCTTCTAGTCCAACCCCCTGCTCAGGCAGGAAACCCTATAACATTCCAGACAAATGGCTGTCCAATCTCTTCTTAAAAACTTGCAGTGTTGGAGCACCCACAACTTCCGGAGGCAAGTCGTTCCACTGTGGTACAATTGGGTTTTCCTTATGGCAGGCAAAGTCCAGTCCAGATAGGATTGGGAGTGCTTACCTTTAAGTGACAGCTGACTTTTAAATGTAGATTCTCCACTACATATGAGATTGGAGCTTGTTCAGATTCAAAGGCATTTTGGCTCTGGTGTGCTGCTATAGTTAGAGATGCTCTGTATTGGGGAGGCAATAAAGAGGCTTTTCAGAGCAACAAATAGTTACATTTGCTTATTAAATTGCAACCATCCTCTTGTTTAATAGAAATCCAGGACATCCCTTCAGCAATTTTCAATAGGCACAAAGAATATTTTTTGCAATTGAAGCAATGTTTCAGTCAGCAATTCCCAAGATGAAGGTTGGGTACCGAATACATCATTGGTACCAATGTTCCTGATACCAGTTTTCACTTGATCTTAAGGGATGGAAAAGCTATTTCCATACAACACACTCAACAGGATTGGATGGCTATGTTAGCAGTTCATTGGGTTAAACCAGAATATGATCTATTTTGTTTGGACATACCATATTCTGTAAACTTGCAGACTAACCTTCATTAATTTAGGTTTAGTTTATAATGTAAGCCTTACCAGAAAAAGATTGCTCTCTCCAACTCTGACAAAAAAGACCAAACCACTCCCCCCCCCACACACACACAAAACCCCCATTAGTCCCCTTTTATTTCTTCCCTTGCTCAACACATGATCGGAAGAGCTATTCTAAAAGCAACTTATTATGTTTCTGCTTTGTCACTTTGTGGCATAGAATTTGGAGGCTTTAAAAGAATTTACGAGATACTTTGTTTGGATTACCTGGTAATTTGGGCAGCAGGATGACTAGGTTATATTCTGGCTCTTTGATGTTGAATTTTCATTATATTTCTTACTGCTTGTCAGCTGCTCTTCTTGCAAAGATTACAAAAATCAATTCTGGAGGTGTGTAAATCAATAGAGGAAGGATAAGTTTGTGTTTTGAGAACATTATCTTCTGCTATATACTAAAAAAAAAAAATACCGCTAATTTTTTAAAGAACAAATATGGAATATCACGTGTTTTCTGAATTGCTTTACTTTAGGAAAAGTAGGTAAGAAACCACATGCTTGAAATACTTCCGTTCCTACATCAAACATTTCTTGCCTTTATAAATCTAGCACATCAAAGAGAAGAGACATACTCAAGCCTTTTTACTGACATCTAATCTGAATGCAGAACTTGGATTGATTCATTTAATTTTGCTGAAGTAGAATAATATCCAAACATTTAATTATTTCCCCAAATTCCAAAATAAGCGCAATCCCAGGACTACATGATATCCCTAAATGTGTAGTTCAGCTACAGGGGTTAAAACACTAGAAATTGTTTGCTGTTCAAATGTCCAGATCAAATCTAGGAACCCAATCTGGCTTCTTGGAGAATGACTTGAGTTTTAACTTGCACCTTTAGTGAAGACAGTTTTGGCCTAGAAAAATTTACTTTCCCTTCACCTAAATATATTTACTTCCACAAGTGAAGAATATGTGATAACAATACTGGTTAGGCAAGTTCTATCATGTCAGGTTCAGAAATGAGGGATTGCAAACTCATATTAATAGCAGGTGTCAAATCTGAAGATACTATGACTTCCCATTTAGGGCTGATATCTTGGGAAGCTCTGTGGCTAATGTTTACACATAAAGAAAAGATGCAGAGAAAATGCACACATTAGAAATCATGAATCAAATGTTTATCCCAGCTTCTGCCTGACCAATGGTGAATCATCACACTCACATTGGTTTTAGTCTACAAACTAGACTTAGTAGAAGTTAAAACATCAAAGTTAAAACAAAAGACTACATCAAAGTTAAAACAAAATTGCAGACAGCCAAAACTCTGTGAGAGCTTGTCTCTCGGCTATTATATTTGGTGTGTCATACACACTCCCACGAAAGGCAGCTACCTTTATCTAAGAATCGTGCAGGTGGCTGTGTCCATCACTGACTGTACAATAGCTTTTGACATTGAACAAGTGAGATTAGGCAATTTTATGGATGAATCTGCCTAATTCCACCTAGGTTTTCCAGTCATTTTATATAAAGGACACAATTTCCTTTTACTGCATTTGAATTCCAAATGAAAGCATAGTTCATTCACTGAATGTATTCCAAGAATGCACACGTATTGTTTAGATTTCAGACTTTATGGGAGCCATCGCAAATCATTCAAAATAGCCCTGTTATTTTTATTTCTCAAAGTTGTATGCCACCCATCTCGCCAAAGGCGACTCTAGGCGGCTTACAGACATGGAATAAAATGTACTATAAAAAAGAGGTCCCCAACCTTTTGGGCACCAGGGACCGGTTCCGTGGAGAGAGGTTTTTCTGTGGACTGGAGGCTGTCTGATTTTGTGTGCTGCCTGCATCCCACGGATGGGGCTTTGCTTGTTTGTGTGGACCGGTTGCTGGCATGCCGCCGACTGGTACTGGTCCACGGACTGGAGGTTGGGGACTCCTGTTATAAAACATTTATTTATTTATTTATTTATTTATTTATTTATTTATTTATTTATTGAATTTATATCCCGCCCTTCTCCTTGCGGACTCAGGGCGGCTGACAATCAGTTAAAAAATACATCAATAACAATTACAAAATTAAAATTAGTTAAAAAGAAATATTTAAATGTTGTCTAATTAAAATATGATTAAAAACCCCTCTAAAAATTNCCCTAGGCCAGTCCCGCTTGTTGGAATAGCCATGTCTTGAGGGCACGGCGGAAGGAAGGGAGATCAGGGATCACCCTGATCTCTGGGGGCAGCTCATTCCAGAGGGTGGGAGCTCCCACAGAGAAGGCCCTCCCCCTTGGGGTCGCCAGCCGGCACTGTCTGGCCGACGGCACCCTGAGGAGACCCACCCTGTGGGAGCATACTGGCCGATGGGAGGTAATCTGTGGCAGAAGTGAAAATAACCCTGTTATGTTAGGCAATCCATGACATTGAGTACTAAGAAACTATGAATGATGGCTCTCCAATGCAGATTGGAGCTAAGCAGTCACCTGGCTATACTGGAACATGTCATATCATCATGTAACGCCACCAGGGGGAGCAGGCAAGATTGGTGTCGGTTCTAAAGGGCCCTGATAAGGCTCTTGAGTCCAAAATATTCTCAGTTACGCTGAATGTTGGTGGCAGACCAAGGATATGGGCTCATCCTAGCAATGATCCATTCACAAAAAGGCAAGAATTGAATCTAGGACTGCAGGAATACCACATATGCATCTCTCCTGTTGGGCTATGGCACAAACAGTGACTCCTAACACGGTTTTCACCTTGAAAGAACCATAAGCCCTTAGTTGGCAAGGTAGCCAAACTTGGAAACAGGCCAGCAGTTACTAACACAGCTTACATCACTGGCCTACCAATAAATCAAATGTACTTGCAAACACTTTGTTCCTTTTTTTAATCCCACTTTCAGGAAGGAAACACAAGGCTGAGAAAAGAGCTCTACTGACAATTGGGCAAATCAGAACCGCGGCAGTGCAAATATTGTCTG